CGATTCCAACAGTGATCTGGTATTGATATGTGATGCCTCCCGTTACAGTTTTAGAATAGTATTAGGTCATAGGTGGCCCACTGTAGAGAAATGCCCAAAAGCGGATGCATCCAGGACTTCACCTAATGCAGAGCATAAATATGTCCAGATAGAGGCAGAAGGTTTGGTAGTCATATTGTAGTCAGGAAATTCCACCAGTACCTTTTTACGGGTGTAAATTTACAATAATAGACTGCAAACCCCTGCTGGGTCTCCTTAATGAAAACAAGGCAGTGCTGCCCATAGCTTCAGGCCGAATTCAGCAGTGAGCTCTAATTCTAAGTGCGTATAATTACAAATTGGAACTCCTCCAGGAGACCAAGCAGCAAATGCGGATGCATTGAGCTGCCTCCAGATGACAGATACACTGCTGTTGTTACCGCCAATGGAAGAGTCTGTAATGGTTTTAAATTTTCTGGACACACTTCTTCTCATCACAGCTGACAACATCAGACATTGGACACACCGATCCGGTCCAGGCAAAATTGAAACAGCTGGTGGTGATGGGGGAAAGAAAAGGGCTGTCACAATCAGAGTTGAAATCTTTTTGAAACCAGAGAGACCAGATCGTAGTAGAGGAATAAATATTATTACGGGGAGCAAGAGTGATTGTCCCGAGTAAAGGTCGTCGTCACCAGACGCTGGCTGAACTCAACCTGGATCATCCAGGAGTTTCCAAAATGAAGATGTTGCCGAGAAATCATGTCTGGGGGCCAGGATTGGATGCAGACATAAGTTTATTGGTGGGCAGTGCCCAGAGTGCCAGCAAGGACAAAAATTAGCACCAGCAGGTCCCCCTACATTCAGGGAATGGCCAGGTAAACCCTGGACTTGGTTACATGTCGAATTAAGGAAATCCTTTCATGGAGTCAATGTTCTTTGTCATTGTGGACATTCACTCAAAGTGACTGGATGTGAATTGTGTTCATTTGTCAAACACGGGGATGATATTAGAAAAACTGTGGGCATCTTTTGCAATACACGGAATCCCGGAAGTGTTGGCCACAAATAACAGGCCATCACTCACCAGTAGGGAGTTTGGATCTTTCCTAAATTCAAATGGTATTCATCAAATAACGACAGCTCCATACCATCCATCATCCAATGGTCTGGCAGAAAGAGTAGTCCAAACTTTGAAGGCACACTTAAAGAAATAGCCTACTGCTTCACTAGATAACAAACTGTCGCAGTTCCAATTTGACTATTGGATCACCCCTCATGCAACTACAGGGCTAGCTCCAGCAGAATTGCTAAAGGGGAGAAGACTCCACATTAGGATAAATCTGATCTTCCTGGGCCTGGAGGAGGGGGGAGAAATGTGAAACAGAATCTGGAATGCCAGTACTGGTACAAGACTCCACTAAATGAGAGAGGCAGTTTTCCTCAGGGGATGAAATTTGGTGCAGGGCCATTTCCATGGTTCCTACATGAATAAGAGGCATGGTTGGTGTGAGGTCAGGTCCAGTGATGTGTACAGTTCCGGTAGCTGTGATGGTTCTGAACAAGCACGCGGACCATATGGAAGCTGCAAATTTGCAAACGATGCAGGCGCAAAATGTGCCCGGCTCCTTTGACACCTTTTCCGACTGTTCCAGAACCTGTGGGTTCACCCTGTCCATCAAGCGTTGAAGATATTTTGAATCTGAGATGAACATGGTGAATGTCACCACCTCCATGTATTTGCTGCCTGAGGAAGAGAATGAATTTCTTCTGTGACACTCCAGGCGCAAGAGGCGCACTACTGTGTGTGACACACCACTTGTATCTGAGGCAGAGTTGGAGGAACCTGACCCAGTGCAAAAACTCCCCAGGGGGAGCTACTAAAAAAAGAACTGGTCTATGCCTCGGACTTGGAGTGGTAGCGATGTAGTGATTTGTAATGAGGTCAACCAGGTGGACCTCATTGAATCTGAGTTCTATGATTAGGGCTGTTAATCTGGTCTAATCAGGGAACTGTGTGACCCATAAGAACAAGAGTGTCAGACATCCTGTTCACTCCGGGAGCTGGCTCTGAGGGAGCTGTATCAGCATCAAGGACTTTCCATGTGTAAGTAAAGAGTGATTTGGTGATGCAATATCAGCATCTGGGGAGTAATTTCAGATGGGACATCAGCTTAATGCCTTGTCAGAAGGACAATCCCACCGACTGTGCCACACTCCCTAGTTACTGCAGGGATTTTTCTGTTCAAGCCTGGAATAGGACCTGAAACCAACCCGTGTGGCACAGAGGCAAGGGAACTGTCAACTGAGGAACATGTTACACAACAAAACAGATATGAGCAATGCAGACAGGAAGGTCTAGGTTCAACTAGCTGAGCTATCTCATCACAGTTAGTAGAGCCTGCTACACTGTTTCTATGCCAGAAAATTTGAGCTCTTGATCAGTAACTTGTCGCCCCTGATGGAAACCAATGAATTGGGCACCAAGTTCCGCCATTGTCGAAAACCTTGCAACATCAAATATCTGGACTGTCACATCCTTTGTAGAGATAGGCAGCAGATGGTAAATAGTGCCTGTCAAAACATATTACAGCTTGGGCCAGAAAAATGCTGATTGGAGAGGAAATGTATGAAACAGAAACAATTGGATTAAATAATTAAGAATCAAGACTGTGATCAAAGGAAAGTACAGCAAGTGCGTTGTGTGGAACGTGCATTCTTTTGGCTTTGGATTGAAATGATATTGTTTCAACAGCAACGTGATTAGAAAATGTTTTTAAAAAAGTGGCACAGCTCTTCATTTACTGTGGCAAAGTTAGTATTAAAGCAAATTTTTTTTTTTTTTTGTAACAAATGAAATTTAAGTGAACAGCAATGCAGGAACAACTGAAATGAAGGGAAAATGGAGAATGCAACTTGAGGAATTGCACTGACCTGGAAATGAAATTTCACTGGCATAATCCTCAGTGTAAAGCAGTTTAGTTTAAGTCTCCATGGTTTTTGGCAAGTCTCTCAATGTTTTAAGTTGATCTCACAGCACATTAGTTTCTTCAGATCCCTGCATTATGATTTGTGTTATTTTTGAATGTGTACTCAATTTAACTTGTCCACATCATGCCCTTGGTGACATGATGTGTGGATATGTGTCTTCCTTCAATGCTACTAGTGACCAGCACTCCACGTCTCTGCCACCATCCTTGATTTCATGATCGTTACAAAGTTTGGCTTCTTTAGCCAGCTTCGAGTTATACAAAAGTTTCAAATGGGAGACACAAAGGGAACAAATGACACAAATTAAAATCGGGGGCCAGTAACAGTTTTGAATAAGCACAGAAAAATAAATGGACTTGAATCTCTTTTTAAGCTATAACTAGGGCCCTTACCTCTGGCCCATATGTCCATGTTCAGATCCAAGGCAATAAATGCTGGCCGAGCCAACAACACCCTCGTTCCATGAACAAATAAAGAAGAAATGTGAAACTAAGGAGTTCAGAAATGAATGCATTGCTTCTTTTAGGGTTTCCCAAGAGAATAAAGAAAATCGCTGAAGTGCTATGGCTGGTTAATTTGTCTCCCTGAAGTTCAGGGCCAACAGGGGCTTTAACCTGCAGCATCTCATTTAGAAAATGGTTCCACAAAATGTCAAGTTAGCTGACATTCTCAACTCCCTGAGTCAATCACAGGCCATGGCAAGCAGGGAGGAAAATGGAGTGAAGGCAGAAGTTCACCCATGATGTTACTGAGTAGTGATGCAGGTTTGAAGAGGTGTGTGGTCAACTTCCGGTATTTCTTACTCTTAGGTCAGATTTGAATTCCACCTTTTTGAGCCATGATTTTCAGGGTTAGAAGTACAAATACAGATTAATTATCAACACATTGATGGAATAAAGAGTGAAAATAAACCATGTTGGGGAATGTTGGTGTTGCTGGGTGAGGTTAATAATACCTGGTATCATTAGCATTGAGAGGAAACAGAAGAAAAATCAAAAATAATCATGGAGAAATAATTTTAAAAATGTGAAAGCTGAACAAAGCTGAAGTACCAAAGGTGCCTCATGGTTTGGAAATAATCAGTTGGTACAATATCAGATCAGCCATCCATTAGAGTCAGAGAGATGTACAACACAGAAATGGACCCTTCGGTTCAACTTGACAAGGTTGATGAGATATGCTAAATTAATCTAGTCCCATTTGTCAGCATTTGGCCCATATTCCTCCGAATCCTTCCAATTATGTTTCCATCCGTATGTCTTTTGAATGTTGTCATTATACCAGCCTCCACCACTTCCTTTGGCAGTTCAATCTAAATACTCTTCACCCTCTGTGTGAAAAAGCTGCCCCTTAAGTCCGTTTTAAATCTTTCCCCTCTCATCTTAAACCTGTGCCGTCTAGTTTTGGACTCCCCTACATTGGGGAAAAGATCTTGACTATTCACCCTACCCGTGTTCCTCACGACTTTATAAACCTTGATAAGGTCATCCCTCAGCCTCCAATGCGCAGAGAAAATAGCCCTAGCCCATTCAGCCTCTCCCTATAGCTCAAACCATCCAACCCTGGCAATATCCTTGTAAATCTTTTCTGAACCTTTTCAAGTTTCACAACATCCCTCCTACCAGGGAGACCAGAAATAAACACCACATTCCAAAAGTGACCTCATCAATGTCCTGTATATCTTTTTCAGTTTTTTTAATTTCAAATGAAAATCAAAAGCCATGTATGAGCTGACTAATCCCAACTTACCCGTCTTTCACGTTTTATCTAGTATCAGAACTTATTTTCATTCAGTTAGAGCTGTTATAGGAGGTCTTGATTTCAACAGCGGATAAAATAAGGAGGAAGAATAGGGACAGCAGCATGTTTGCAACATTGGTGAAAGGAAAAAGCAAGGCTAGCTTGCAGGAGCACTCAGCGTTATCGAACCAACAATAGTTTACATTACAGTTGAGATGTTACAACTTCCTTTGTTCCTTTCAATTTGCCCGTGTCTAATGTAGTTTGCCTCATTTATTTTGTTCAATTAGATGAAGTCTGCTGGAACAGTTGACCAGAATTTATTTACTGACACCTACTGTAAGGTATGCAGTGCTCAGCTGATTTCAGAGTCTCAGAGAGTGGCACATTATGAGGTAAGATTTCAGCTGTTTACTTGAAAATATGCATTTCCTTTTCAATACCATGTCCTTTTTTCAACAAATTATATTTAACTGAGAAGCTTGAGAACAATTTGAAAGTCATGAATAGTTTTGGATTTTGCTATTTCTGCTAAAGGTTAAAAGTATAACATATTTTTCTCTCCAAAATAAAACGTGGTGCCTCAAGAGCTTGCAATATTGTGAAAATTTGGTCACAAGCTCTGTCAATGCAGCATTAGTCAGGGAAGCTGAGCTCCCTCGTTCACTCACTGTTTCCAACTGGAAATGCATATGTAAGACCATTCTCAAATAAAAGCAAGGTAAAACCAAAGATGTTGAAGATTTGAAATGAAAACAAACTGCTCGAGAAACTCAGCAGCTCTGACAGCATTGCCGGAGTTAGAACATCATTCACGTTTTGAGTGATATAGGACTCTTCTTCAGAACTGCTTAACTTCAGTTATTCTGTTCGGTTACTGACCTATAAACCCTGGTTGATGAAGCCATCCAATAATAAGCAGCAGTCTCTCCTCCCTTAGTCAGCACAAAACAGGCATAAGCTGCATGCCTGAGGTTCCTTGATACCTGACTACTTCGAAGTCTGTGATCTTGATAAACATCGTTGTTGTTAAGCCATTCCAAAAACAGAAATTTCTTGTTAAATGTGCATGGTTTGCATGTATTTCAATGTAACTACAATCAATTTTTAAGGGGACTGGCAAGTCAAATTGATTGTGCATAACCCAGTCACCAAATTTTTGTCCATTCTTTGCTCTTTTCTGCTTGGTCTTTCTACCAATTTTGGTGGTGTTTCCAGGGCTCCGACTGGCACCATTCCACTGAGACTCATTTCAATTGACATGCTTGAGTGAGACTGTACCCAGCAGTTTCAACAGCACAGGAGGTGATCCATTCCATCCCACCAGAATTTCTGCCATCAGATCTGTGCACAGGGCTGGCCAGCCCTCAACTTGGGAACACATATGAATGTGGAAATCCTCCATGTGACAACTGGGGGAGTGGGAGCTAAAATGTCCGTGGAAGCAAACAGATGAAGCACCATAATATTTTATAGCTTTTTTTGAAGCATGCGATTTTGACAGTATCATGCTTCAGTAGTAACTGGAGGAAGCGCAGTGGAAAAGAGAACATCCAGCGCCACCTCTGCAAGAGCAGTCATTTCGTTTTTTGCCGACCACTTCCAAGTCGCTTGGTACTTTATTTCTGGCAAAGACTCTTTCTGGATCTTTTCAAAGACTTTGTCTATTTTTGACTCTGTGCTTTGGATCTCAGTAATTATCCTCTTCATTTCTGGTCCCAGCTGCCAAGGGGCGTTTTGCAACTGTCCGAATCCCACAGTTAAATCAGTGCAAAGGAGCTGGTCTCAAAGTTGGCAGCAAACAGCTCATCCATCTGTCTGCAAAACCCACCAGTCATCACATTACTCAAAATTGCGACAGTGAATTTGCAATTTTTATAGAGACTGTCTTGACTGTGTGTGTGGTCAGGGAGATGTCACGAAACTATTCTGTGAACGTTGTTGTATTTACATGGATTTCGTCGGGCAGTGAGCAATTTTGTGGCTTTTGGCAGACTTCATGGGACCCATAGAAGTTGTATCAATGGTGATATTATATACCACGTAATTATTTGGCAAACTGCTTATTTTGTGGACTGATGGACAAAAATCTTTTTTTTTTTTTGTTCCTTATTTTGTTCACCAAACACTGAGTAGTTTCTGTGTAGAAAGAGCTTCATATCCAAAGTTTTATGTTGCAAAATTTGATGTGTTTTCTCAGATCCTAAAAAACACATCTCATCACGTCATAGTGTACTCAACGTGCCTATCACATGGTGGTGAAGGCGATTGAAAACAAACATTATTTAAAAGGTAAGAGGACTGTTCAGCATATAATTATCCACAGGCAGTGAACTTAGTGTTTCAGGTTACTCTCTTGTTTCTGCTAATGTTCATAAATTCTAGTATCAGCTTGACACTTGATGGAATTATGGCTATGTAGCGCACCTACCATCATAAATTTACCGTGGTATTTTTAAATTAGAATTGGAAGAAAGAAATAAATAATGTAACGGTAATTATTTCATAAAATTTGAGGAGTCAATGGGGCAGTCTTCTGTGTTGAGGTCAGCTGGGTTATAATTATGGTAGCTAGTGCCAAAAGCTCAGTGGGCATGAGAAACCTGTTTATAACTGTATACATGACAGTGTCTTGTGAGGGTCCCATGACACAGTGGTAATGTTTCTACCCGTAAGCCAGATGGCCTGGGTTCAAGTCCCACCAGCTCCAGGGCTGTATAATACTAACGTCTCGAAACATACTGATGACAAAATGTACAAGTCGCTGCCTCAGTCTATAAGTCTGTTACTTCTCGTGCATCTTTGTGAACTGAAGGCAAAAGAGGACTTAATCGAATTCAAGCCGTGAATGGAACGAGGTTCAGACAATGTGTGGCCATACAAATTGGCCTGAATCTTTCAATTTCCACAGCAAATAAAAGCTCCACATCTCCAATTGCAACCAGAGTAAATGATCCAAAAAGGCACTGCCCATTTGCCAATGGTTGACGTGATGGGATATGGAAGGGAACCACATCAAGAGAGAACCCACTGAGAAGCAGTGCTGGTGGAAGGGAAGGAAAAAGATGTAACTGAAAAAAGTACAAATGCATTGCAGTTGAGTTCTTCAAATTTTAGGCAAACTTGTCGAATTAGTAACTGCTTTTCTTGAGTAAAGGTTTTGTCTTGTGTTGTCCTCAGCCTCAAATACATGCTAGCACTTTGACAGGAGATCTATTAAAGGGAATAAGAGGAAAAGGTATGAGAACAGATTTGCAGGTAAAAATAAAAAGGAACCCAAAGTCTGATAACTGTACAAGTGGAAATAGTATTAAAATCAAGGAAGAGGCTGTTGTAAGAACCAAGGAAGATACTTTCTTATAAAGGGAGTGGATATAATATTGTTGATTGGGGAAAAAATTGGTAGTAAAAGAGAGAACAATGGTGATATTTTGTGATTATATCTTGATATTGGCGAGGGAATTAAAACATTGGCAATAGTGAATTAAATAAATTTGCCCGGTCCAAGTGAAATGAAAATTTAGAGTACCACGGAAAATAAAATTTGAATTTTCAGGTACCTTAGAACAGTCTTCCAAATACCTTCAGATATGATGGTGCTGTAAGAAGGCAACAAATATCAAATCCCCATTGATGAACAAAGTGAGGGATACATTCTGCAACTGCAGACCAGCAGCTCAAAAATGCTTGGGAAATTTTTAGAGATGACATTCCAGAGGTCAGTTATCTCAGATCGTTCAAGCGTGAGTGTGGGTTCCGTCTCTGTCGTAGTTGAAGTAGTTCCTCGTCCGGCCCCTTATACTTGCCCCATTGTGATATCGTACTGTCGTGCAGATATCGAGATATGTGGAGATCTGTGATTTACAACCCACCAACAAAGAAGAATGTATCATGAGGATAGAACTGAGAACAAAATGAATTGGTGTTTAGAAAAGTATGGACTGTGGAACGTGAATTGTGGAACGCAAACCATATTTGACAAATTGGGTCAAGTCTTTCAATGAAGTAGCAGAGAACTGATGAAGGTGTTATTGCCTGAAAACATAAACTTGTTCCTAAAATTGAAATCCATGGAATTAAAGGCACATGCATGAACACACAGTGGGCTCAGGGATAGAAAACACAGGGTAGTGATGATGCAACTGCAGCGGTGTATATTGTCAATATTTGACCCACAGCTATTTTAGATATGTATTAATGACATAAAATCAATATTTGCAAATGATATGAAACTTGAAAATGTAGAACAATAACGAAGATAATATCAGACATTATAGCACAGCCAGGGAGTTGAATGGTGTCATGTTCAGTCCTCCCCCTTGAGGATGACTGTCTGAATTGGATGCAGAAGAGAATTGCTCGATTGTAACAGGGGATTCAAACACATGGATGGCCCAAAGATCATGAAGTAAGGATTCTTTATTGCACTGGCATGAGGTCTTTACAAGCATGAAAGGAGATGAAGGTTAAACTGTGAAAGCAGAGTATTAACACAGAATGAAACCTGTAATTCACATCTCCTTGAGTAAATCCTCATCCCGTTTCTCCCTTTCTTCAAGAGGCTTCTTTGTTAAAGAGGCACTGTGTCATCCACAGAATGGCCACTTGATTGCTCAAACTCCCTTCTATGTTACCTTCCCTTGACATTGCCACCTGAAGCCAGACTTCTTTTAAACACGATGGCAAAGGGATGAGGGACTTCATTTGTTTGGGGAGACTGGCAAAGCTGCTGGTGTTCTCCTTAAATTTAAGAATGTTAAGAGGAAATTAAGAGATGTGTTCAAGATCGTGGAGGATCTTGATAGGGGAATTAAGGAGAAATCATTGCCAGATGCAAAAGCATTAGGATACCAAAGGACTTGCAGATTTAAGGTTATTGGCTAAATACTTACACAGCAGGTTGTTCACCCTTGGAATGTACCACCTGACGGGATGGGAGAAGTTGATTCAGCATGAATATTTGCATAAGAATCAGATAAATGTTTAAATGGTAGTAGATTTTTAAGGCAGGAGGGGAATCTCTGGAGACTGAGATTAATTTTGTGAGTTTGACAATTAAACTGATATAGGTTAACTGGCCTCCTGTGCTGTGTAATTCTTGGATTCCAAAATATAAATCACAAATTTATTCTGATGTGTTATTGTGTCACAGGACACAGCCAAGTGTGTCATGCTTTTGAAACATCTTTATCCTTTTGAATCCACACACAAAAAATGTTCTCTCATTTAGCGGCTACAGTGACATTCCTTGGGGGAATTCTTGGGGGATGTTGCTGTTCAGCTCCTCTCATAGACAAATGGGTTTAAAGGGAGTAATTTCACACCCCCTTCTGTTTAGAATAGTGTGTATTGAAGAGAGGGCTAAAAAATCTTTTCAATCAATGGAATGTAATAG